CGTTTCAATGGATGTCGATCAATGTTTGACTTGCTCTCTAAGTAAATACATTACAATATAAATGGATTTGGTAACATATCAGCTTAATGTGGTTCCTAGTTTGAATGCATATTAATGAAATATTTTTTTTGGTATTTCTTTAAAATTTAGTTTGTTACTATCAAAAAAAGTATCTGTGTTAATAGATCTTGTTTACTTAGTTGTTCATTCTCTCCTTAATGGAGTCCATATATCTTCATATAAAAACTTGCAAAAACATAAAATAAAGTTGTACACTTAACTGCAACTAGATAGTTCCAAAGTGTTTATGAAATGAAAGAACAGAAAAGATGTCTTAGCTTAACTTTCCTCTTTGCAGTGTTTCGAAGGAGTACTGAAGTGTAAAGTAGACGACACACTTAAAGCTGTTCTGGAAAAGATGGTAGACTCTGAGGTATGATTACTAAAGTATTCGGCAACAGATGGAAACTTTTTTTTTCTTTTACATAAAGAACTTGGTATAGGCAAAAACTAGCATATAAACCTGGATGTTTGGAATTACTGTCAAAATAAAATGACTTCAAATATCTCTTTAAATAAAAAACGTAATGAATTTAAGTGGATATTGAAACAGTTTTAGATTTAAAAAAAACTATAGTGGGAAGAGGGAAAGAATAAAGTTGTGGCAGAAAACATTCTGCTATTTTTAAATTACTCGGTCTACTGCCGTACTGACTGGCTCTCCACCTAGTAACTGTACAGACAAGATTCTGCTATTTTTAAATTACTCGGTCTACTGCCGTACTGACTGGCTCTCCACCTAGTAACTGTACAGACAAGATTCTGCTATTTTTAAATTACTCGGTCTACTGCCGTACTGACTGGCTCTCCACCTAGTAACTGTACAGACAAGATTCTGAGAACTAATTGAATTATCATTTGATGTTAAGTCTTTTGAACAGGCGTAGGTTTTAAATTCATGATTTTGAAGTCTCCTGTATTCATCTGTTTACTTCAGTGCATCTAATATTACTAACTTTTTTTTTTTCTAAATCAAAATTACACCAAGGTTACCAAACTTCATCATAACTGGTTTAGCCAGTTTCTCTTAACACAAGACAAGTCCTAGAATATTTGGTCTCTTACATCACTAATGATTCTTGTTGTGTATGCACAAGTGTAAAATTCCAATTAAGAGCTAGAAACATGATACAGCAGCATCGCTTTCTTCTTAAGATCGTAATGTTATTTTTGAAAGTGCAAGCGACTTGCTGTATCGATAAGATTTCCACTGAAAGGTGTAAACTAGCTCAATTTACTGGACGTGGTGCTACTTGTTTCGATTCCTCTTTTTAAATAGTTCTCCCCACTTATGTGTTAAGATATATTTTTAAAACTACACATTCTTGTTAAACCTATTAATTTGTCACTGTTGGTGCTTTTTATTTTTAAAACTTGTTATAGGCTAATTTCTTTATCTAAGTGTTCAGTATATAAATTGAGACAATGAAACAACTTAAGCTATTTTAGGCATTGCCAACTACTGGGTCTACGAATGGCCTTGGAACATGGTTTATCAAACTTAATGAAACAACTTAAGCTATTTTAGGCATTACCAACTACTGGGTCTACGAATGGCCTTGGAACATGGTTTATCAAACTTATTGAAACAACTTAAGCTATTTTAGGCATTACCAACTACTGGTTTTTAAAGATCTTTCTTCATCACTGGAATGGATTCAACCCTAAAGTTCCAATATTGTCAACTTAAGAACTTGACACTCAAGAATCAGTCTTCTGTATTTTTCAGGTGCACAGGCTAGTTATTGTTGATCAGGAAGATCGTGTTGTTGGGATCATTTCACTTTCAGACATCTTGAAGTTCCTCGTTCTCCATCCAGCAGGTAAGAGTTACTTTGTGTGTGTCATAAATGTCTCTTTCGTGAGCCAAATGTCAAAAACTGATTTTGGATAAAGTATTTTTCCACTTGTGTTAATAGCAACTAATTCATTTGAACATTGTTTTTTTTTTCACATTACATAAATCACATCTGTGAAGGTGTGATATACAAATAGATATAAAATATGGTTAACAATTACTTCAAGTATTTTATGATTAACCTTTCTTGTTTTTATATAATGGACAGAGAAATAGATGTATGGTAATGATTGGTAATACTTAAATGCAGATTTTCTAAAAGTCTCGTGTTGTAGTTTACCACCAAATAGTTATCATTGAATTAAAAGAACCATTTCAAATTTCATTATACCACAAGTCTTAAGGCCATTATTATATTAACACCAAATAACACTGAATTAAGAGAACAAAACAAACCCAGAAATCGAAGTGCTCTTGATAGATGGGCAGTTTCTTTGAGTTTGAAAAATAAATGGTTTATTTTCTGAATTAATGGAAGTTATCGTTTTTGCTATTGGTAAGTCTTTACAGGAAAGCTTTGTCCATCTCGGAAAGATATCAAACTCTAAATTATATGAATTTTTTATGTTTCCCACTGGATTTTTACTGAGAAACAGTTATGTTAAAACCATAGTGTTAGTCAGTGTTGCCACATCTGATCTTGGACACACAAATCTGTAGGTGCTGCATCTGGTGACTTGTAGCACTTGTCTTCGAAACCGCATCTGCTTAACTATTCAGTAGTTGAATGGATATGTTGGGGAAACAACTTTTGCCTGAGACACTTGAACTCAAGTAAAAATAAATACTAAAACCATAAAACAAATTCTACATAGAGACTTAAAATTAAAAGTGTTACATTCTAGTAGACTTGTTACTGAGAAAGTCCTCGTGGAACATAATATAGCTCATTGTAATATGTTAACCACACCTTCGTTTTCGAAGTTCTGAATTATCACAGCTGAAATGACTCGTTAGACCAATTTCGGGATGATTCTAGTATCCCATGTTAAACTGTAAATCTCCAGTCTAAACACATCTTTGATTGAAGTATATGAAACTCTTGTGTTTGTTACATGTAAAATTGGCTATGATCATTACTTGACTTCCTAATTTGCATACATTAAATCAGATTCCAAAGTTTTTTTTCTGAAGAGGCCGAATCTGTAGTGTTGATGAAGTCACAATTAC